AACAGATCATATAAGAGATGGTTGAACCTTTAAGAGACCTCTTCTCCACAAGGGTCAACTGATAAAATTCATCTCACCAATATCAGATCCACGGACAGGGACAACGGACATGCGAAGCATCTCCTGCCTAGGACTAAACACTTACGTGTTTATCCACCAGCTCTATTACCTAGGGTATTGCAGACATCAGTCAGGCGAGAGACCCACAACTATTTGGGACACGCCTTTTGACCAGCGAGAATATGATTCCTATTCTCATACAAGATCTAGGACTGCTTCTACTGCAACTACCAGAGTGTACGAATCTACTAGTACATCCTCACACAAAGCAGGCGCACGGCAACCCGGAGGTGTTCCGGCTACACGTGTGGACTGTATCAGACATGCTTGAACAAGAGAGGATATTTCGCCAGAGCAGCGAAAACGGTCACACTAGCTTTACGCATGTCTTCACGCAACTTGTCTGACGACAAGTAGTGACGCTTTGAAACAAAAGATACGCTTCAAGGATCGGCTTCACAGCCATGAAAGTGACACATCCTCAAGTGGCGGACTACCTTTGTCACCTAGACAAAGGAAGCGGTAAAAAGGGTCAACACTCTCAACATACCTAGCGGCATTGAGAGCAGTTATCGTCATGAGGACGAGTGCAACTAACTGAAGTACCAGAGTTACTGGCCTTACTATGCCCTTTAATTGGAGGACCAACATCAGAGATTTAAAGCTCCGGTATGGGACCTCAGCGTTGTTCTACGACATCTCACTAGTGACAGCTACGAACCATTATAGAGAACATCATTAGAGTTCTTGACACAGAAGGCGCTGTTCCTGATAACCTTAGTAACAGCAGCAAGGATGTCGGAAATACATGCTCTGGATTGAGAGAACACGATTTGATGCAAATCAAACATCGTGCATATGGGACTGAGATGGGACTTCATAGCAAAGAATCAACTGCCAGGTCATCCAGACAGACAGTTCCATGTCCCAACACTATCATCAGCCCTTGGACCACAGGATACGCACGGCTTATCCTTGTGCCCAGTACAAGCATGGAAAGTCTACCTACAACGATCCAGGTCCATGAGACGGAAATTCAAGTGTCTTTCGTCTCGATATCAACAGCGGCACAGACAAAGGTCTTCCGCACTAAAATATCAAGCTGGATCAGAACTGTCATACTACGGGCCTACAAAGCAGCAGGACTGGATCCTCCAAGAGCCTCCAACCCACATGAAGTGAGAGCTCTAGCGCAACGCTCTCTATACTTGGAAATCGCTCTATCAGGACCATAATGGAGGGCTGCTTCTGGAAATGGGACATGGTGGTTGCCAACCATCACTTGAAGAACATCGCCACTGAGGACGGCTTTTACATTCACCATTTCGCCCACTTATTGGACGGTCCCACTAAAAGGCGCTGAGGCGGAGTCTCGCCCTTTTGTTGCATAACTTACTAAGTTTACACTCAGCGGAGTTCTGCTTAAGTCATATGCACGCCTAACAACTAGCATAAGTAATCTGACCCAGTACTTGTAAGGATACTGGTACAGGAATGGGTCGCTTCTCCACTTGGTGCTTGCATCAAGAGTTAGAGTCGCAAAATCCACATACAATGTTAAGACATGAAAGGACCAAAAGTTAACTTTTGTGGTCCCCCCATTTTAAGGCAGCTGGAAGGTTAGGGTCGCAACAGCAGCAGAGTTTACTAGTAAATACAGTGCCATTACGAAGTTCCCATAGGGGGGTATATAATGACGTAAAATTCACTAAAGAAATCCTAAAGTGCTTTTCCCACCACCTTTTCCGTAGGATTCTACAAGCAAAAGAGCATGAGTCAGGATAAGGAAAAATATGTAATTTTCTGAATAAAATTGATATTTTATACTTATCCTGACTCATGAGGTAAGCCCACCCATCCTCCCCTCTAGACACTTTGGATTTCCCTGCAAATTCAAGTGTCGGGCTCATAATCAGGAGAGAGTGAGGCATGAGGGCACGGTGGCGCCACAGTTTCCCGCCTAAACGGCTGGAGAGATAACTCTTGGTAGGAGTGATTTTACGTCTATTCTTTATTGAAGGGAGCTTCAATAGGAGATACAAGTGTTCCACTATGTTCGCAAGAAGAAGAAGACAAGCAAAAGAGCATGAGTCAGGATAAGTATAAAATATCAATTTTATTCGGAAAATTACATTCTTGTCATCTTTCACAGTTTGGCATGCTTCATTCCATTGACTCACTTCAGTTTTGTGTCGACCTACTCTTAAGCATTGAAACAGACAAAACTATAGAGCTGTCATCAAATATTTTACCTATGAGGGTCAGTCAGTCATCATAGAATAGTGATTAATAGTTGTAGATTGGGGAAGCTTCCAATCATAAGCCACTTAAAGTAAAGGAATTTCAACTTTGGAGAGAGAGTTTGAAAGATGACACACAATCTGGTCAAGCCACAACAAGCATCACAAAAAAAATAATACATTGATAACATTCACAACATAGCTGTACTTCATCCTTATTAACATGAGGAGAAAACAGGTTTCTTGTGTGGTCAATAGAAAGAATCCTTCATGAATTTCTTCATGAAGTCAAAAGTTTGTGCCTGATGAGTTCCCAGAATGCAACTGGAAGAAATTAAGGCCCTATCGGTCACCGCCAACTAACTTCAGTATGGTGTTTTCCTCACAGGACAATGCCCTACTTTACACCAGTCATGATGCAATGGCTGCTCTTTCTTGTCCCCATTATTAACCATATTGGGCCCACAGTGACTACCACTTTTTTTCCAAAAATGACAAAGGCACTTGGTAACACATTGAAAGAAGGTGCCTGTGGTTGATGGATCATGACTTGATTTTCTACTTACACAAGAATAACTGACCTGGAGAAGAGATTTAGCAAGTGTATTGAACTGCAATGTTGAAAAAATGAGAGTTTACGACATTTCTTTCAGTTCTATATATTCTTGGTTTAAAACAATCTTATTCCTCCTCGCATTCTATATATTTTATAGAAGTATTGAGTGATCAATCCTCAAGCTTATTGTTTCATGTTCTTTTAGGTATGGGTTCTGTGTAAGTAATATTAACTGCCCCGACTGTTCATGCAATGTTTTGTGTAACTCTGTTTAATATCAGTGTATCTGTACTTTTATGACATCTTTCCCTGCAAATAATGTGTGTTGTGTTGGATTAGATTTTCACAACAAAACCCTTCCCGGAAATTAGTAATTATGGTGAAATATTTGTTCCAACAAGATGTTGAGAAAAGTGTTGGTTTTCTAAGATCTTCACAAATATATGATTAAAACTGTGGACAATGAGGAAATTAGTTCGGTTTTGAGACAGACTAATTTCCTTTCTTCATTATTTCATGAAAGAATTACAGTCTTGTGCAATCCAGGATAACAAGAGGCAGACAAAGAGTTAAATCAGGGATAAGAATAAAATATTCAGAATTTTCTCAGCAATAATGCTGTATCTTCTATTTGAAGTTTGTATGATGAAACAATCCTGCTTGAACTGGTTGGCATTGATTTCTAAAAGTAGAGAATTAAGTTGGCAGGTATGAGAGACCTGCAACTACTCATAACTAAACACAGTGGCAGTATGAAACAAAACACATTGCCCTAGTTCTTTATAAGGAAGTGTAGCTGAACATATGGAAGTGGTGTAACAGGACAAGGCATTGTTTTAGAAGATTGAAAACAGATATGGCAAACAAAAAGGTGACCTTAATGAATTATTTTTGGTTGGAACAGTATTTTCCCTTTATAGTATTGCACTTGGCATTTTGTTCACCTGAATTAAAATTTCTAATCAGATACTGAATCAAGGATCGCAAAATGATGCACAAAATGTATTAAATGTCATGTTACAAGTTTTTGACATGTCGAGTGAGTGAGTGAGTTAAAATTTTATATCGCATTGGCAATATTACAGCCATATAGCGATGAAAACAAGGTAATCATTTTAAATAGCTGTCGACAAAGGACAGTAAAACAAACTAGACTATCACAGATATATACTTAAAACTAGTAATTAAATCTGAAATACTTTAACTATAGAGGACGATACAATATAAAAACAGGCTATAGATCGCCAACAACTGAAGGTAGATCACCATAGCAGGGTCCATGGGGACTTACAGTGCCCTTGCTACCTTTGACATGTGGAAGGATGCATAAGAAGCAAACAACTCATTGTACATACATTGTATATGTTTTACAGTGTTACAATTAAAGGTAGCCCCAAACTAGGCTAACATTATCACACATTTTTTACTATATATTTTTCTATCCTACTTTCGTATGGAAAATAATTTGATGGTATATGAGAGTTTCTTAATAAGATATTACGTATGGTTATTAAGTCTTGAGTTTGATTGCATGCTTTGAGGGGACTATGAAAGTTGTTGGTTTAATGGATATCTTAGAAGGAACCATTTAGAATCCCACAAAACCCTTCCAAAGTTGTAACACTGAATAAGGACAGTAACTGAGTATTTGGGCTACAATGAATCCACTATGAAATAAATATGAGACATCTCACGAATATTGGGTAACAAATACAATAACAAGTCAGCAGTTAATGTCTTATTCAATATTTGTAGTGAAATTGTTAAAAAATATTTATTTGACATGTTTTGACCATGTTGACAATGATGATTTATCACAACAATGATCAGTGACCACAATACTGTGAACTTAATTATATGAAAGTGCTGGCTGTTGTCCCATCTGGCTTGGATATATTTTGCATATCCCATTTTGATAAATAACACCCAAACCAAAGTAGAACACCCCTCCATAAAAAATTCAAGTATTCAAGTCAAGTGATCACGAATACCGAATAAAATAAACTTCATGAAGGGATACAGTTCTGTTCACATATATGCAAGTGAACCTTGCATGAAGCAGCCTTAGCTATATCAGTGTGAATTATCTGCATGTTTTGAAAGTACATTTGATGGATGGCATTGATTGTACATGTATGTTCCAGGATCACAAACGATGCTCGTGAAGATGAGATGGAACAGAATGTGAGCGAGGTCAGCGGAATGATAGGCAACCTCCGTAACATGGCTATTGACATGGGTAGTGAGATCGACTCCCAGAACAGACAGGTTGATCGCATCAATCAGAAGGTACCATTCTTCACACTTCTCTGCATTCTACAATTCTACAGAACACCTTACATGTACTCAATAAGTTCCACCGGCCCATTTCTAGAACAGCAATGAATGGTTGCTTGTCATAGAAGGGCACACTTATGTTCCTCTCCACCATTGCTAAGGAATACTTTCCTAATGAAACTGCTACTTGAACATTGATCAGATTTAAGCCTGAATGCCATGAATCACAAGATTGTTCAGCTGGTAATTATTACCAAAGTGGTTAAAATCATTCTATTATGTGTTCTAGACTAAGTCACAGAAGTAAAAATCATAAGTGATACAAGTACTTTATCACCACAAACATACACACGTTATTTTTTTTTCTTTCCAGTGAAAGTAAATCTATTTTGTTCCAAATGTAAATCCCTTATAATGTCAGTCTGACCCAGTTGCAAATCAATGATTTCATCTGTTTCTTTAACTGATATTCTCTGCCCTGTTGGTATAGTGAAAAGAAAAGTGGAACATATCCAGTAAACAAATCACAGAATCACCAAACCATCAGCATCTGCCACATTTGTTAGTGTCCTGATTGTTTTATTGATAAACAGAGAAGTCCTGATTTATAATGAAGCATGAACCTGTTGTGGGTTGTTCTGACATAGCCTGTAAAATATTATATAATTAATTGTTTTAGGTGTTTTAAAGTAATTAATATTAATGATCAAGTTACAGGGGCCTGGGCTTAGGTTTTTACTTGATTAATAGTATGAAAAGAAGTAGGTATTCAACGAGCATACATCAAGGAGATTCTGTTGATTGATCCCATGTAAATAATTACAAAGATTCCTAATATAACAAAATGAAAAATATGGAGATCAAAACTTCGACTATTTGAGTATTATTGGAGTAGTTTTCTGATGAACATTGCCATTTTGAGCATCTAGGCTCAGATCAATGGGCAGTCATAGCTAGTTTTATTCAGGTTGCACAAAATGTTATTTTTTTCAACTTACACATCAGTCTATATCAGTCTAAAAGTTGCCTAATTATACAATGATTCTTACAAAGGGCACTATTTATAAGATTAGGCCTGGGCACCAAACCCTTGAGCATACCAGTGGACCCCTGACAGACCGAGGGACACACGTTCATTGACTGTTTCAACCTGTGTGTCTTAATGAAATTGTTCTGTTTCAGACAACCAGTTACTAACACTTCCATTAATAACCTTGAATAATCTGCCTTGTTTTTGCAGGCAACATCTAATGAGATTCGCATCACTGAAGCTAATAAGAGAGCTACAAAGCTCCTTAAAGAGGCTTAGGTCTCAAAAAGTGTAACTGGCCAGTCGAGTGTGGTTTCAAATTTTAGATTTGTTCTCATCTTTCTTTTTCATCTTCAGTTTGGAGTCATTTAGTGCAAATTTCTTTTTCTACGATTTGTGAACCACACTTATCATCTAGAGAAATATTTGGCTGAAAACTATTTGCAAAAATACATTTCATAACCATGGGATGAACTTTTCATCGCCTTCATATTTAGTTTGAAGAGAAACATATTTGCTTGAAACCTAGCCAAGACAACATGTTAGGATTGTATGTGGTAAATTTCATCTTAGGAAGTAATTCAAGTTAGCATTATGATCATAATGGATTGATCAGGATTTTTTTCTGGATGATATTGGTGTCAACTTTGTATGAAATCATTTCTTTTTCTCATCTGCTGGTAATATAATGTTTTAAGCATAATAATGTTGCAAATAGAGTAACGAATTGTAGTTAAATCAATGTTAATTAGTGAATACTTCATCATTAGCTTTAATGTTCAAGTACCATTTATGCCATGTTAAATCTAATTTGAAGTATTGAACATTTTTTGTAGGTATTTTTTGTCTTGGCTAGAATCTCATTACTATGCATGACTTGATGTAGTGGAATTATATTTCCTTTAAAAACCAACTACAGTTGTTGTCACTTTTCTTGTAAATCAATTCAAATCTGAATGCTGCTTTAGTCTGCTGGTTCAGTTTTGATCTGAAAAAATGATTGAATGGTTTGGTTTTGAAAGGGAAATATGGTTGTATTGTTTTGTAGAGTCATTTAGTAAGGAATGCTCACTCTCTGTTGATTTGTGATATTCTGGGTCTTCTTTTTTCTTGATCACTATCGTTTGTTTCATGTTTTGTTGTCTGTTCTCAGTTTCTTTTGTGTTTTCTTCATTTTCAACACTTTAGGCAGGGTCGTTGAATGTCCGAGTTGATAACGCCAATGACCGAGCTACAAAAATACTCCGACATCAGTGATGGGTCCATGTCTCTCACCTGCTCAACGGGCTGCCGTCAACTGTTCAGAGATTCTGCATTCTGCAAGAATATCTTCTACTGTATCTCAACCTTAAAGCGATAAAAGGAGGAATTCCAGGAACTGTCAAAATAATTGATATGTGGTGAACATTTGTTTTTATATCTTTTATGTTCATTTTTAGATCAGGGACTATCACAATCAAAATTCAGCAGTTTGGGTAATTTACTGATACCTGTTTACAAAGCATGTGATGGAATTGTATGTAGGATATATTGAACTGGTCACAAAGTCATGTTAATGATGAAATATGAAAGATGATTATTTATTGTTTAACAACCATAAAAATTGTAAATAATGTGACTACAACATTTGCTTTTCTGTTAAGTACAAAATTATGTATATATTTTTTTATCAGACGCAGGCCAGATTTTCATATTGCAGTCATCTGTCATCAGCGGAAATAAGGGGTAAAGGAAGTCAGGGCAAAAGAGCCAAAGTCATAACTTTAAAGACATCAAGATGGTCAAAGTCCCCCTTCCTTTGCAGCAAATCAAATATTGTCTGTCTTGTATGGAAATCCGTACATCTTGGACCTAACTGTTGCTACTACTTCATCAAATTGTCAGTATTTAATTTGTACCAAAAAGTGTGCAAACAAAGTCTTTACTAGTAGTTTGAAGTACCTGGCAAGCTTTTGACAACAATGTATTTTATCACTCATTTTTATGAAACAGATCAAAGTAAATGGCAAACTGGCTTTTGCAAATCTTTAGTCAATAAATATGTGATTTATCATACAATTGACTTCTTCAAGAAGCAACGTTAAAGGAATTTGATGATCTAAGGGAAGTAACTGTACATTCCAGTACTTAACACATAATGAGGGTGTGGCCACTACCAGGCATGTTGTGAGCATGTATGGAGTACATTACTGATGTGAATGTTGTTTCAGCATGCTTTAACACCTGTCTTCTTGTATGGAGACCTTGATGAGTTGTTCCTGGAGTCACATAAATAAAACTTTCTTATGAAAGGTTTTATGTAAAGAATTTGTACATAATTTTACATACTTTAGATGTCAATATGTTATGGGAACTCTGCTTGATCTTCTAGTCAAGAAAATGATGAAATTTCAGTTAGTTATTCTGTGCAGGTGAAACAACAGTTAAAGCATTAATTTTGATCAGCTATGTGCAATGTGTCATGAGAGGTTTTAGCATGTGTGGAAGATAAGAAAGTGGACCTAGGACCAGTAATACATTGAGACTCTGGATAATATAGATACCCAAATAATGTAGATAACATGTTGAAATGTCTGTGCCCAATAACTAATGTTTTATTTTGGTGGCTGGAACAGAATCACCAAAGTGACATGTGAAGGATCAATTTTTATGCAGAACATTTGTACTTTATTATTAAGTCATGTTTTGTTTCACCAAATCTATTTCAATACTTCATTTATGATCAGTGTAAATTATTAATGTACAAGTATGAACAAAACTACCAATAAAACAGTCTTGCACTATAACTGTATGTTGCTTTGAGAAATATGTTTTTAACCCTGTCAGTAACAAATTATGCTCAGTTCTCCTTGTAACAATTACTGCTGGTAGATTTGGCTAAAGAAAGATAAAGCAGCTGGAATAGAGTTTAATACTTTTCAACATTTGAAATGTTGTACAAGTGATATTTTGATTGAAATATTCTGAAGTTGACAGCGAGATATGACACAGTTGCTAGATATTTTCCCCATCAATATGCATGTGGAGGAGTTATTGAAATATTAACTTAATGCAAATCATATGTCTGTGCTATATAATTTTGTGACTTTTTGTAGCAAACACATAGACTGACGATGAGAGACTACAAAGAGATTTGTGACAGTGACTTGGTGAAATTTTGGAGAGATTTTAGATTAGAAATTATTAATATCATAGTGAGGGGTGTCTCATTTATTCAGCAGTTTTCCAGAACTGAAACATTTGGAAATATTCTCTCAAACATTTCACTTAGTGGAATAAATGTACCGTGGTTTGCATTTGTTTGTTTAACACATCCTATACATAATATAAATAGAGAATCATTTTCAGAATCATTCATTCCAGTTGTTAAGCTTTGTCCTGTATGTAATGTCACAATCATGTTGATATTAAAGATTTCATGTAGACATAGTGTAGAGGATTCTGTATTCATGTTCTTTCTCTCAGTGTCAACAACTTCTTCCATATGATATGCAGTTCATATGTCATCATCAAGCTGGAAATGTACAACTGACACAGGTTATAAGCTCTTAGTATGTCCACCAAACTCTCACTCTGAAATGCTGTCTCATACTGTCTTTGGGACACTTATAGATTGAATACTCTTTCCTTGATGGCGTTTTATGTTGTGTTAAAGATATAGTAAGGGGACCAATGATTTATTGAGGAAAACTGAGAATTGTGTCGTTTAGCCATGTCAGGATCTAACATTCCAGATTTACACAGATTATTTTCCTTGTTGTGTCAGCATACCTGATTGGTCTGCGTCAGTAGGTGATTTCGTCCCACAAGAAGGTGACACTCATGCATTTTTCGGTGTCTGTCTACTCAGCATGTGAGGAATCTTGTTAAACCTGCAGAGCAGATGGTTTCTTTGCTGCTGTGTTACATGCACTGTTGCAGTGGGAAGTCACCTAAGTGCTTGCCACTAAAGCATCATTGAGCTGAGCTATGCTGATCTTCAAGGTTTCTCAGAAAATGAATTATTACTTACTGTAATGTTACAATGTGGACAGCTGTTGTTTAGGAAATCCTTGCCAAATACTGACTTCAGTAATACTTGTTTTGTGTAGTTTTTATCACATCTTTCATTGTATGTTATGTATTGGTAAATCAAGAGGTTTACACTCCTTGACGTTTGGTTCAGTGATGACAGTTTTCATTAAAGCACGTCAGTGAATCTGAGCTGTGAGAAAATCTTGATGGAACTATCATATTCAGAATGGGAGTTTGGATGGACTTGATAGTAACTTATCAGATGGCTTAACATCTTTGTTCATTTTCACCGTTAAAGATTAAATACTGTCACTTCTTCAGTGGTGTTTGTCTGTAGTTTATTCAAAGACTTTTCAAAACAAGTTCAGAGATTTAATTCAAACCTACAGATATGAAAAGTCTCTGTTATATGTGGAACAGGGGACATTGTATTCAGCAGCATCCGTACGTACGTCTGTCCATACGTCCCGATTCTTGTTAATGCGATATCTCATGAACTGTTTTACCCAATATCTTCAAATTTGGTGACATCCTACATTGGGGGATTACGCAGACACCAGTCGATTGGGTGACCTTGACATTATCTTCAAGGTCACCATGACACTTTGACCACTTTTCAAACTTATGTTAACGTGATATCCCATAAAACGTTGTACCCAATTTTAGCATCTGAGCTGAAGAATATATTGCCATTTTTTACAAATTTGATGTCAGGAATTAACATAATGTGTATCAGGGTAGTGTTGAGTAATAGGGGGTGGGATACCCAGGTACAAAAATTGGACCCATCCCAGCCCTAATGCAGACTAATACTGACAGTGGATATGTGCATCTGTATCTATACATTCAAATCTACTATATTCCTGAAATATCTTCAGAGTTAGGAGAAGATTCTGAGAAGTGACCATGGCTAAAAACTACATCACACAAATGGTAATCTTCTATGTGACCAAAAGATAAAAACTAGTAAATGTGTTATATTTCATTCTTCTTAAGTGGCAAACACTATGTCTTGTTTTCAAGCTGGGGCAATATTGCAATCACCTTTTCTGAGCATTTGTTTTCTGTTTTTGGAGCAGAACCGCCAAACCCTTCCTATCTGAGTGAATTTGCTATACAGGTTAGTCTAGGAATAGCTGCCTTTGGATGATTTAAGAAAGTGTTTTTAAACATACGTTTTAAGTTTTCAGGACAGCATATTGGACTTCAATGAAGATTAATGAATGCTAATTTCTGGAGCAGAACTTAAAAACCCTTTAATACTTCTTGATGAAACCTGTTATATAGATGAGTCTACTGCTGAACTAATGCCTATCAATGTTCTCAAATATATTGCGCTTTTTCCAAGGCTTCAACTTCATGGATTGAGTGAATCAGTCATAGTACATGACAATTCCCTGGCTGAAGAGGTCCCTAGTACCTTATGATTGTGGTATGAGTTGGCTACTGTGTGTGACCTGGCATTAATGTGTGTTGGACACCAGACTATACATGGTGTACATAACAGTCTATCTTTAAGAAACACTAAGGCCACATCATACAAAACGATGGTATTATCTGACATTCTACATTATGAGGATGTACATGAGTCATGTCATCTGTGTGGAATAATGTGTGGGGTATCCATTCTCACCTGATCACATGAGTCTGGACTGATACAAGCAGTCACAAACATGAGCATGTGTCTCCCTAGGTAAGTACAATAATCTTGAATGCCTCTTTAAACCCAGTACAAACATCTTGAATGCCTCTTTAAACCCAGTACAATAATCTTGAATACATCTTTAAACCCAGTACAAACATCTTGAATGCCTCTTTAAACCCAGTACAATAATCTTGAATACATCTTTAAACCCAGTACAAACATCTTGAATGCCTCTTTAAACCAGTACAAACATCTTGAATGCCTCTTTAAACCCAGTACAAACATCTTGAATGCCTCTTTAAACCAGTACAAACATCTTGAATGCCTCTTTAAACCCAGTACAAACATCTTGAATGCCTCTTTAAACCCAGTACAAACATCTTGAATGCCTCTTTATAACCCAGTACAAACATCTTGAATACATCTTTAAACCCAGTACAAACATCTTGAATGCCTCTTTATAACCCAGTACAAACATCTTGAATGCCTCTTTATAACCCAGTACAAACATCTTGAATGCCTCTTTATAACCCAGTACAAACATCTTGAATACATCTTTAAACCCAGTACAAACATCTTGAATACATCTTTAAACACAGTACAAACATCTTGAATGCCTCTTTATAACCCAGTACAAACATTTTGAATGTCTCTCTGAACCCAGCACAAACATCTTGAATGCCTCTTTAAACCCAGTACAATAATCTTGAATGCCTCTTTAAGCCAAGTACAAACATCTTGAATGCCTCTTTATAACCCAGTACAAACATCTTGAATACATCTTTAAACCCAGTACAAACATCTTGAATGTCTCTTTATAACCCAGTACAAACATCTTGAATGTCTCTTTAAACCCAGTACAAACATCTTGAATGCCTCTTTATAACCCAGTACAAACATCTTGAATACATATTTAAACCCAGTACAAACATCTTGAATGCCTCTTTAAACCCAGTACAAACATCTTGAATGCCTCTTTAAACTCGGTACAAACATCTTGGATGCCTCTTTATAACCCTGTACAAACATCTTGGATGCCTCTTTAAACCAAGTACAATAATCTTGAATGCCTCTTGAAACCCAGTACAAACATCTTGAATGCCTCTTTAAACCCAGTACAAACATCTTGAATGCCTCTTTAAACCCAGTACAAACATCTTGGATGCCTCTTTAAACCCAGTACAAACATCTTGAATACATCTTTAAACCAGTACAAACATCTTGGATGCCTCTTTATAACCCAGTACAATGATCTTGAATGCCTCTTTAAACCCAGTACAAACATCTTGAATACATCTTTAAACCCAGTACAAACATCTTGAATGCCTCTTTATAACCCAGTACAAACATCTTGAATGCATATTTATAACCCAGTACAAACATCTTGAATACATCTTTAAACCCAGTGCAATAATCTTGAATGCCTCTTTAAACTCAGTACAAACATCTTGGATGCCTCTTTAAACCCAGTACAATAATCTTGAATGCCACTATAAACCCAGTACACACTTCTTCAGTGCCACTTTAAACCCAGTACACACTTCTTCAGTGCCACTTTAAAGTGATTACAAGCATCTTCAGTGCCACTGAAGCCCACTTTCACGTCACCTCATTTGTCAAGAATATATTTTACTGCTCTTCATGTGATTATGTTCACACTGTGTTACGGTTTAGAAATTGCCTTGACAAAAGGTTTGTGAGTCCACTTTAAACCAGCAAAATAGAACACAGACCATCTATGATATTCAATAATATATTGAATAAACAGTGAGCAAGGTTACAATGAACGACCGTTCACATTTCTATTACAATACTGTTGAGTCTCAAATCTAAAAATTGGGCGTAGGGGTATCCCAGTGGTTAAAGCGTTCGCTCGTCACGCCCAAAACCGGGGTTCGATTTCCCACATGGGTACAATGTGTGAAGCCCATTTCTGGTGTCTCCCGTCGTGATATTGCTGGAATATTGCTAAAAGCGGCGTAAAACTAAACTCACTCAAATCTAAAATATTCACTAAATATCTATAGTTACCACAGTATTGATTCTTGTCGGTGTACTTATTGAATATTGTTGACGGCTTGTGAAAGTATGTAGACGATGTCAGTTGAACGGTTGGTCTTGAAACGCTGATGTTCGCCGACAGATGAATGTAAATCCAAAGTAGTAGTAGTCCTGCTCAAACATCTCAACAACCACGCCTTATTTACCTATCACACAGTTCCAGACATTTCTAGCAAAAACTATGCCACAATACAACTATTTAGATCACACTTTGACCATGTAGAAATTACTGGAATGAACCCCAGAGTTCAACACACAAAAACTATTATGCCAAGCTGAACAAAATTATCTTGAACAGGCTCTTGAAACAAGCCTAAAAGACAATCACAGAAAACCGTTCTGGAAGTACATAAAGGCCAAGAAGCAGGACAATAACGGAGTAGGTCCATTGGAAGAAGGCGGCACACTTATACAAACAGGCAGGAGAAAGCGGAAATACTAAACAAACAATTTCAATCAGTCTTCACCAAATAAGTAGTCGACGAGCAAATGCCACCCTCATACTTACCCGGCAATAAAGGACTTGATAATAGATGTAAGAGGAATCGAAGCCCTAATTAAAAAACTCAAGCCAAATAAAGCCAGTGCCCAGATGAACTACGAAATAGAGTCTTACAATTATGCTCCGAAGACCATGCACCTGGTTTAAACCACATCTACTACACACAGTCCATAAGCAGGGGTGAAGTACCTAAAGACTGGAGAAGGGCGAACACATCCCACATCTTCTAGAAGGGTAATAGACACTTGGCCAGCAATTATTGTACAGTTTCGCTTACGTGTGTCTGTGCGAAGATGTTGGAACATATCATCTGCCGACACTGAATGTCACATCTGGAGAAGTATAATATCTTAGCTAACCTACAGCACGACTTCCCCTCGAGGCACTCATGTGAATCTCAGTCACTACTTAGAACCCATGATATTATGTCAATGTATGATAAGAAACAACAAGTCCATCTCGCCATACTAGATTTTAGCAAAGCATTTGTCACAGTCCTCCCATAAGAAGCTGTTATACAAGCTGGAGAGATACGGTATCAATAACAATTTACTAATACATGTATGGATCAAGTCATTCTTAACAAGAACTCAGTGCATTGTAGTAGAAGGAAATGCATCATCCTCAGTGCATGTAGAGTCCGGAGTACCACAAGGAACTTGTCTTGGACCAATTTTGTTTCTCATTCATATTAACGTTTTACCATTAGCGGTCTTCAACTCATTAGAACACTGGGCCAAGGAATGGGGAATGTCTTTTAATGCCAAGAAGTGTTATATTCTCAGAATATCAAGATCAAAGGCTCCAAGCATAGGCGCCCGACTCTGATATATTTATAAGCATGACCTATATATCTTATATATACTAGGCACATAAAGAAACTGTGCATACAAAAATTTAAAATCTAAATTTATCAAACCTGTGTAGACACATAAGGATTGAAACTCAGAGATTAGTGACATGTATCCAACATGGCTGCACCCGCCACGTTCCGTGACGTCAGTGGATTCGTCCTTTAGACGTGCAATACGTTGTTGCACGTGCATACCGGGAAAGAGAAACAGAGCAAATGAATGCCGCACAATACTGTCACTTTGGAAAGCTCAACCCCT